CTCCACGAGAGCAGGGTCGGTCCCCCGCTGTGCCGTGTCTCCGCAGCCTGGCCCCCCGTGTCGGCTCAGCGCTCGGGCACTCGATGAACTTGCTAACCCTTTGCACTCGATTGCTTTTTTCTCAATCCCTTTATTCTACTCGGGATTTAATTTTTTAAATACCCCAGATTTTACAAAGCGCGGCATAGAATAAAAAACCGGAGTTTCTTTTCACACAAACTTATTTATTTGGATTTTTTTGTATTTTAAAGCATCGACACATTCAAAGAGTCATTCTACTCTCTATAATTTTTCTCGGCATGAGCTGCTACCGATGCTGACCGTGTCGAGTCGCACTCGACATCCGAGTGCAAAGGGTTGACCGAGAGAAGGAACGGACGTGTCCACCCACGAGCGTCTCCTAACGGCCTGCGGCTCTGCGCTGGGCAGTGGCGGAAAGCTCCAGGCCCCGCCTCCGGGGAAAACCGAGGTGCAGCAGAAAGGATGCAACAGCACGCCCTGACACCCACCTGGCCGAGACGCCGTGACGGGCGGGGAGACAGGAGACGTGCCCGAGATCTCAGGGACGCACAGCCGCAGGAAACCAGTCCCGAAGTCGCCTCTCCAGAAACCAGCGAAGCGTGTCTTTGACAGCAGGGACACCTCGGATGGGAAGAACTCCCAGACACAAACGACAACAGCCCAACGGACGTGGAGCGGAGCAGTCCGGGCCGGGAGTCAGGACGCCACGCCGGGGCCGAGACGCTCGAAATGCCAGAAACACAAGACCCGTCTGGCACCCGTTCGTTGGTGCTTGAACTCGCTTGATTTCTTTCCTTTCAAGATTCTAGCTGGCAACTAAAAATCGTGCAGGTCTGCAGCGTGTGCCACGGGCTGTTTGGGCGTCTGCAGGCTTTGTGGAAGGGCCACGTCAAGCCCACCAACACAGGCATGCCTTCCTGCCTTTCCTTTTTGTGGGGAGAGCACTTCACATCTTCTCTTGGCGGTTTCCAGGGATACGATGCCTTGTTATTAACCGTAGCTGCCGTGCCGCACAGTAGCCCCCTCGAACCCGTCCCTCCCAGCGGAGACTCTGTGTCCCGTGGCCAACATCTCCCCACTGCTCCCAGCCCCCGCCTCTGCTACCCACCGTTCTACTCTCTGCTCCTGTGAAAACTCACTGGAATTCTTATTTTCCTCAGAGGCGCCCTTCAGCCTCTTATCAGGGGTCGGAACCTTCCTATTTGTAGACTCTCTGCAAGAGCCTTTGCGGCGAGTCCACCACCTTCAGCAGAGCTGGCGAAGGCTCGCATAGACACAGGCTCTGGTCTACACTGCAGGCCACTGCAAGACACTCAGCCGCCAGGCCCCACCCCAAAACAAGCGAAGCCCAGGTTTTTTTTTTGGCGGGGGTGGGCACCTGTCATCTGTATTTATGGTTTTTTAACACATTGACTACCACACTAGAAAAATATTTTTTCCCCTGGAGCCACGGTGTTTTATTAATATCACAAAAATAGAATAAAAACTCGGAAAACAAAACGATTCTTTCCAATTTAATGAACAATTTGTTATTTTTTTTTATTGTTTTCTGTGCGTGGGTTACATGCAACTCGAAAAATAGCTCACGCGGCTCCAGGTAAAGAGGCCTGGGAGCCGCGCACGCTTCACGAGGCCCCCCGGCTCAAAACTAGCGCGAGTTAAATACAACTCACGTGGCCGTTAACGTGTTAAGCTGCAAGGTCATTCTGATGCACGCCCGAGGCTGAAAACCACCTCGTCTAGATTTTCCTGCAGAAAAGTTGGTTAGCTTGCAGTTCAATGGCCTTGACGGAGAGGGTCAAGCGAAGTGGCAGCCATGAGTCATGTGGAGATGGCATTGGCCCGGGTGTGCCCCTGGTATGCACACGAGGTGCATGTGGACCTCACGTCATCGGGGATAGGGTGTTTCTCAGCAGGGATGCCAGTGGGGACACTCTGGGGACAACTTTTTGATGCAGAGGACCGTCCAGCACCTTGAACGACACTCCACCTTCCTGCAGCCCCTCACACCTGGGTAAGCACCAGTAGCATCTTCCTAACTACAGCCACTGAAAAAGCCCTTCACCTTCCAAAGCGAGTAAGGCACCGTACTACCCGTACACGCGCGTGCACACCCACACACGCACACACACACACTTCAGAGCCAACCAAGGTCACCATGACGCATAACCACATGGCCTTCGAAACGCCCTCACTTGGTTCCCAACCACTAGGGCTTGATCCCGGAAGCTAAGAGGCTGACAGTCGCCTTCTTCCCTGTTCTTTGCTTTTGACGACGGCCCTTTTATTTTTCCTGGGAGCTTTGTGTGCCTGCGTGCGTGCGTGTGTGGGTTCGTGCGCCTGCCCCAGCCGGGGGATGGGGGGGGGGAAGCCTAATTAGGAAGACTAGGATACGAAAAATGAGTTTTTTCACTTTCTTTTAATGCAACTCTCTGCGGGACCCAACTCCATGATAAGCTCAAAACTCGAAACAGCTGATCAGTTGCCGGAACCTTCGCCCTGCTGCCCGCACATCCCCAGCTAAAGTTTGCTTTCCGGAGTTTATCAGCAAGAAACGCGTTTCAGCAGATGGGATGTTTATACGCTTCCAGGGGAAAACACAGCTGATTCTGAAAGGCCGAAAGATCACTTCCTCCAGGAGCGACGGGCGTTCATGGCACGATGAACCACCCGGGTTATTTGAATCGGTCCTAATGAAATGCGCCCTCACCACTCCCCTAAAATCAGTCTCATTCAAAACCCTTGGCCCAAAGGTTATTTTGGAGTTTTCGAAGGGAACACAACACGTCAACACTTTAAGGCAGCCGGAATTGCTAACAGCTGCCTTCCCTTGAAGCAGATGAGGTTTGGCGGCGACTCATCCGTGGCGAAATGCTGCGTGTGCTGCCTGTGAAATCATCCCCGGCTCCCACTTCACCTTTCCTTAAAGGAGTTGTGTGTGGGGGGGGTGGGGGAAGTATATCTACATACAAAGGAGCAATTCAGCGGTAGCTCAAGTCCCGGCAGCAGAACAGTGCACGCTTTTAAAGCTAACACGAAGAGTAAAATGCATGGCTCCGGCGACTGCAGTTGAAAGCGCGGTGGAGAGATTGATACTGATCGCTGAGCAGACGGAGGTGTCGGCATCTGGCTGAAGATGAAGATGTCACAAACTCTCGTTACGTGCGAGATGGTGCTACCAAAGCGTGCAACGCCGGACTCACTCTCGGGTGTGGGTGTCCGGCTACTACCAACTCCCCTGTGCATTCCGTCTGGGGCGTTTTATTTATTGATTGCTTTCGAAAATGATGCCAGATTAAAAGAATATATCAGGCATAGACATCAGGCATTTCTTAAATTTAGGGAGAGGATATTTTTCCCCCTACTTTTACCACGTTCTCCGGAAAACTTAAGGTTCGCAAATCGTACCCTTGGTGAGTAAATTCGGTACCTTCAATTGGCACCCAAAGAGACAACTGGATGTCACAAATATGTATGCTAGCATCATAGCGTCGCTCTAAGTAGACGTGGAAATAAGAGCTCCGCATATTAAGAAAGAAGCCGGGAACAACCTGACTCAAAGACCTCGGGAGCCCGTGGCCAAACGTTTCCCCCCCTACGACAGCAGGTCCCGTCATGTGCTCATTGACCCTTTACGCCACCGTGTCTGTCACGTGCAATGCACGTGCCGAGAGCTGCCACGCCTGCAGTGGCTTGGGTTTCAATGAGGTGAAAACCCAGTGCCGAGGGGCCTGTTTAGCCAGGCACCCGCCGAGCCCGGTCCTGGCTGAGCTGGCTCTCCGCGGGGAGGAGTCCTCGATGCCACGAGCCAAACGACAGACTCAGGGAAGGAGGAGGACCTCTCTGTGTTGGACACATGCTGGTCTAGCACCCAGCGTCAGGCTGTGAAGACACCCTGCCCCAAGACACTCTGCTCGCGAGGAGATGCTGTAGGCAGCCACCGTGCAGAGGGGCACAGGGACTGTCACGCCCGGCTATAGAAGAGGCAGCACAGCCGAGCCAGGGCCCGCCAGGGTTTGGGGAGCGGAGCCCTCTCACTCAGCCCTGCGAAGGCATGCACCAGCAGGACCCGCAGGAAGCCGCAGGGGTGCCGGGAGCTCGAGTGTGGCCAAAGGACAGGAGGCGATGTGAGGGGCCTGGATTCTGGGTGAGGAGAATGGGTCCACCCTGGTCCCGGCCACCCCATCATCGCCTGCGACTGCCACCCCCTCCCCCATCTCCTGCCACCTGCGGAAGTCCAGCCCTTTCCTCTCCCTCAAATCCGGAGATGACAGAACGTGCAGACGAGAGGGAGGAGAGACCAAGCTGAAGGAGGCTGCTTGCAAAAAGACGCCTTCCTCCGTCTCCCGCCTGGCCTCTCGTAACCTCAGCTGCCCTCGGGCCAGAGGTCTCGGGGGCTCAGAGAGGCGCTGCCATCCCAGCTTTATTGCACGTTGCGGCCGGCAGAGGGGGGCAGCAACGAGAAATGCCATGGCACTTTTTTTTTTTTAACCACTTCGGTGGTACGAGCGTCGGCTGTAGCCGACAGCCACGGATGAACGTGCACAGCGACTTTAGCCGACAGCCGCGATATGCCTTTTCTAATTTTTCATTCACCAAAATAAAATTGTGAACACTTTAAAAATAACGTCGTGGAAACACATATGTCTATGTGACCTACTCTGATATTTACATGACAAGTGAAGCTGCCCGTAAAGTCCAACAAGCTTTCGGGGCTCTCAAGCTTTCCTCATCACACGAGAGCAGCACGGCCCGCCGTCCATGCGCGGCGCAGACCGCCGTGCGGCCCGGGAGCGCCGGCTGCGGGCGAGGTGTCGCGGCCCGCGAGCGCCGTGCAGAAGCGGCTAAACTCCCAGACGGAACTTTGGGGGCCCCTTTACACGCCAAACGAGACGCCGGTCGGTTTGCTCTTTCAGCTTTGAGAAGTGCAGAGCTTCCCCAAACACGAAAAAAAAGTGAGGGACGGTTCTGTCCTCCCGCCGTGGGTGCTCCAGTTACACGGTAATTACCTCCAGGATGGCAGCGGACATGCCTTCCGAGACGGAGCTGTTCACCACGGCGAAGCAGTTCTTCACGGCCGCGTGCAGGTCCCCCTGGGGCATCTCCCCGATCTGCCGGACCCCCGAGGCCCTGAAACGACACGGGGCGGGGGTCGGGGGTGGCAGGTCTACTTCCGGGTCCCCCGGGGGGGGTGGGGAGCTGGGGAGGAGGAGGGGTGACAATCCTGGAGACATACTGTGGGTCGCAAAGCAAGTTTCCTGCACGCGGGAAGGAAAACCACGTGGGCTGAGCCTTCATCACAGCTCACACCCCTGACCGGGGCGGGAGGGAGCCCGTAAACGAGCCTGTTCCGACAGAGACACCTGCTCTCCAATACTGAAGAGTCAGAGAGAAGGTTTTTTTTTTTTTTTTTGACATTTTCCTCTGTATGATCTAGAAAACATTTTCCTAATAGTTCAACCATTTTCCCCCCAATAATTTTAAAAAATACTAAAGGGACAATATGAATAGAAATCATAAAAGGAGAGAAACAGAAGTGCTCAGATAGAGAGGACAATGCAACACGAGCCTGTGTTCCCAGCACCAGAGTGGGCAGGTATTTCATTATACAGGTTCTGCTTGGATGTGTCTTTTCTCATCAAACAATGTATTATAGATCTGCACCTGTCTTTGATAGTCTTCCCCACGCCCCAACTCTCTCGTGGTTTGGATGCACGTCCCTTCGCGTACCTGGTTTATACTGTTGCAGACATGCGCCTGCGTCTCGGAGCAGTTTAAAGACCCCTGATTGTATGTGGGGATAAAGTCAGTATTGCTTAGACCCCCGTGTGGCTGGCAGGGGGCGGGGGCGGGGCGCCCGTGGGATCTGGCTGGAATCCTGGGGGCTGTGAGGAAATCGCCTTGCAGGGGGATCACCTAGACAGGGGATGGGTCCCTCTGGCCCTCGCTCCTTCCTATCTCCCCAGTTAAAAAGATGACCAGGGCAGACCTGGTTCTAGGGCAACCTTGCCACCAGCAGGATGGGAGCCACAGGCCACATAAAGGCAGAACAGAGACCAAACGCCCCAAGGTCTCGTCGATGTCTCGGGGGAGCCCCCAGGCCAGTCCTAAGGCGATCCCACTCGGGTTTCCGTGAGGGAGCAAGGAGACCTCCACCTGTCTGAGCCGGGGCTGCTGGGCTCCTGGAGCACAAATGCAACCCGTGACCAACACACTGACGAGCTGGTCTCCAAAGTGGCTGCACCAATGTCCCCCTCCTCGGCAGGGCATGAGAATGAGGCCGTTTCCCTCCATTCCTCCAAACTCTTGATACTTAAGTCTTTTCCATTTTCCCCCATGGTGCCAGTAAAAATTATAATCCCAAAGGGGTTCCCATTGGCATTTTCCTGGTGACTGGGCAGGTTGCACATCTTACGCTCTCAGTAAGTCGGTTTTCTTGCCTGTAAAACGGGCAAGTAACGGTGCCGGGAATCTCCTAGGGCCATCGGGAGAATCGGATGGGGTGGTGTGCGGAAATCGCGTGGGACAGTGCCCGGGAACTGTAAAACGAGAACCAGCCTCTCTGGTCTGCTCTGCTGCAAAATACCCGGGACCGGCCTGCGCTTACCTTTGGACTTTGGCTTTTACTTCCCGAGTAAACACCGGGTCAACCTGCAAAGAGACAAAGACGAACATCAACAAGAGCCCACAAGGAAGCTGCCTCCGGTGAATCTCACGTACCTGGCAATCCGGAGACCGGAAAAATAAGCAAGTAGGAAACGGTACCCCAAGCCCAGCTAGTAAATAACAAAAACAATAATGGTAATAAAAAGAGAAAGAAGGGAGACAGGGTTCCAAAGAAATACGTGTTTATGCTCCTGCTCGTCCTGGCTGAGCCCGGGCGCGGTGGGGGAGAAGGCGTCGGCCAACCTAAGGTCTCGAAACAGATTCCTTTTATTCAGATTATCCTAAACAATAGAGTCACAGTATAACCCTAACATCTCATAATGAAAAAAGCGAACAGTCCAGTGAAAACCTTCTTTGGGCTCTACATATTAATTTTCAAAGTAATATTAAATATTTTACTGATGATAACTTTTAGTTACAAATTTCTCTTTCTTTCTTTTTTTTTTTTATCTCATTGGCATGCCTCTGCTGTCATGATTAACTATTCAGGGAAAGGTAATTTGTCGAGGAAAAAAAAACGGAATTTTTATAAGACTGCTGAAATGCCTAACGCTGTAAGTAAAATTTAACCGAAGGTATAACAGCAGCTTTCAAGTTGAAACCAAAACACTGCCTTAAGTTTCTCTGGGTCTTACCTTCCACATCAGTTCATTTTCAAATCTCTTAGTGAAGCCGAGTGGAACAAAACACAAAATAGAGACAAAAAAAAAAAGAAGGGTGGATATTTTTATTTAACGAAAGCGCATGTTATGAAATTTTAAAAGGCAAAGGCATCTCAAGCCGCAAAGGAAATTCTCATTTCCTCCTTCCAAGCTTATTTATTTTCCATCGAAATATATTGTTTCAACTCCCGGGCTTAAGGGAAATAATGTTTGATACGAGGAGTTATCGTGGAAAGCCATTAAGCTGTGCCGCTCGAGCCGAATGCTCACGCCACGCTCCTTATCAGAGAGGGGCAGAAAAGCGCCTGCCCCGGCACCCCTGCAAGCAGGGGCCACACGCTTCGCTGAAACGGTCGGACCGAGAGATCAAAGCCGCTTTAACAGAAACCGGAGCCAGGCTCGAACCACCCCGCAGCTAAAACAGAATCCCAGCCTGTCAGAGCGGCAAAGGGACACGGGCAAGAAAAGATCTTTCATGTAACGCTCAGGGGATGCAGCCCGAGAGCCAGGCACCGTTCCGGGCGCTGCCCGAGTCCTCACTCACTGGCCCCTCGAGGCAGACGGCGAGGCAGGTGGCGGTGGCTCCGTCATCCCCACGTTACAGGTGGGGAAACCGAGGCACGGGGTGTTTAACCACTTCGGTACGAGCGTCGGCTATACTCGACAGCCACAGATGAACACGCACGTCGACTTTAGCCGACAGCCTCGATGTGACTCTTCTAATTTTTCCTTTACCAAAGTAAAATTGTGAACATTTAAAAATAGCGTCATGAAAACATATATGTGTATGTGACCTATTCTGATATTTACATGACAAGTAAAGCTGCCTGTAAAGTCAAACAAGCTTTCGGTGCTTTCAAGCTTTCCTCATCACACAAGAGCAAAACGGACACGTCGCCAATGCACAGCACAGACCGCCGTGCGGACCGTGAGTGCCGGCTGGGGGCGAGGTGTCGCGGCCGGTGAGCGCGCCGTGCCGAGGTGGTTAAGTAGTAACGCGCGCCCAGGTAGCTGGCTCTAGGGTCCACGACATGCGTGTATAGCCATTCTATGATGCTGCCACGCAGAGCTACACTTGTCGTGGTTCCGACAGTGAATACGGATCAATGGCAGTTGTGGTCGGGGCAGGGGGTGTCACCTAAGTTGCCAGAAGTCAGCAGCCGCGAGTGACGGTGTGGATTTCATTATGGCACTGGGACCTGTCTTTTTTTTTTAAGTGCTTGCTAAGAATGACCACAAAGATAAACATACGTACGGGCTCTAAAAAATCAAAACACGCAGGGCACCAGTGATTTTTTTTTTTAAGCACTCTAAGAACATCCACTCTACTATTTTGTAAATGACTGGGAGAGTGGAAAAGTACCGATTATGAACAAGCAGCAGAGTGACGATGGTATTCAAAGGAAAGCTACAGTCGCTGGGCCCAGACAGGGTCGCGGCAAACGTGTCCACATGCCACGAGCCACGAGCCCAGCCAGGGACTTCCCGCCGGTGAGACGTCCCCCGCCTGGTCGTCAGCCGTGCGGGTCTGCCTTCCGGACTCGAGCATCCGTCTCACTTCTCCTGCCCGAGCTCGCGCTCCTTTCTTTCGGATCCCTCCTCGCCTCGTGCCAGGGGACACGGTCTCGTGAGAGTGGCCTCATGTGCGTCACAAGGGGCGGGAGGTGACCCTGAGCCCACACGGTCCGACGTCCTCGGCTCTGAACCTCGAACAGGATGGCGCAGGGACTGAGCAATGGGCGGGGCTCCCTTTCCCCAGGTGCGGGCTCCTTGGGCCGGCGCCCGGCCTCTCGCCCAAATCCAGGCTGGCTCCTCCGCCTGCCCCGCGAGTCTCCTAGCAACGGCTCGCACTCTTTCCATAGGTGTCCCTTTGGGGATGTTGGGCCCGTGCCCGTTTCCGATGCTTGTGGCTGAGCAGGTGCCGTTCCTTCACGGGGGCGGTCTCCCACGTGACGGGGCTCCCGGGAGAGAAAGGGACAGGAATGGAGTCGCCACCGTCCACACACACGGCGATTATTCCCTCGTAATAGACCGGGCTCTCTTATCAGCACACGGGGCCTGCCGGGACCGGGTTCCTAGCAGTCAAACTAGGAGGGGAGAAAACACTTTTTACACTCCCTGTGCTCACAAAAAAAAAAAAGGAGGCAAACAAAAGTGTCAGGTGCAAGGTGGTGCGCCCCAAGAAGAAATGGCAAGAAGAGACGTGTGTTTCCTCCGGGAAGTGAAAACCATCCCTGACGGTTTTGCGTGAAAACAGCCGCAGCAGCGGCAGCGGGGGCAGCGGTCCTCCTGATAGGGTGCTGCTTACGAGGCCGGGAAGAAGTTGGTGGCACCTGCCGCTGCCCCGAGGGCCGCAGAGTTGAAGGTAACAGAGAAGCTCAGGACGGGGCGCGGCGTGTTCTGGGAGTCCCGCTGCTACCCCCGCAGCTCAGACCAGCCTTCGCTTCCCGCCACATACCAGGCGCTACCTGTGCGTGCCCAAGCTCGCCCCTCTGCAGGCTTCCTGAAAAGGAAACGGGAGCCGGAAAAAAGTCAAGCACGGAGATCCGACCATCCTCAGTCGGGCGTGCGCGAAGGTCTCTCTCTCCGGCAAGCCTTCCTGCTACGGGTTCCTCCCGCCACGCACGGACACGCTTTTATCACGCTTTCCCCCAAACTTCAGCCGTTTGCGTGCACGTTAACTATTTCTCACATCTGCACGCCACCTGGACTGCTGTTCATTTGATCCTTCACGTGGGGCCGAGTTATTTTTAAGGGAAAGTTTCGTAGCTGGAAAGCCGGTATCGCGTGCTACACATAGCACGTGGCCATAAAAATAAAGACAGTGAAAAAGACAACCATATTATTAAATGCTTTTTAGATAATTTTTTTTTGTCACCAGCCCACAGCTCTGAGCCTGAGGCTTTCTTTCCTGGTCGGCAAGAATTTTAGCATTGGATGAAAACTTTTTCTTCCAATGTTCTTCAAACAGAAGGATGAAAGGAGAATTTAAAAAGTAATAATAATGATTTTGCTACTATGGGGCTTCACATTGATTAGTGCACCAGGAATTATCTTAGTATCACCAAAAGGCTAGCATCTAACGTGTGTGTGAGTGTGTGTGTATGTGTATAAGAATGTGTATTATACCAAGAAAACTGCTGGATTTAGGGGTGATTCATGTTCCACACAGTATTCGATGTGGCTACACAGATTTCAGCCCTTGATATTTTTAAGAGCTTATGTGGCCTCTCTCCGGGTAAACGTATTATTTCCAAGGGCCTCTGAGAACACTTGAGAAGCGCTTGAGACCCCCACGGCACGCTCTGCGGGTCCCCAGGGAAACAGAAAATCTACATGGGGAAGAACCGCAAAACACATAAGGCTCTGAGAAGCCATGCAGAATCCCATTCACTCGAATCTTCAGGGACGCTCTTATTTTAGGGGCATTCCAGTATAAAGCGAGAAAGAGTGAATCTGTGCACAACACACATTTAACACTCACAGACTCAAAGACCCCCAACTCCAAAGACCATCACACTGAGGATCAGGTCCCCACATACGAATTTGCGGGCACAAACATTCAGACCACCTGGAAACACTTAGTGCTTTGTTTCCCAAACCGCTTGGCGTAAATACAAGGGCATTCTCACGAGACGGCTGGCGCGGGGGACCCCGAGTCTCTGAACCCTGAGCGCTCAGGGACTGGGTGTGTCCGATCCACGTCTGTTGGGGGATGAGAGAATGTCATCCCCTGGAGCCGGCACAGGTGGGAGGCCACGTCCGCGAGTGTCTCCAAGGATCTCCGTCCCCAGGCAATGGCCACCCTGGTCAGGCGCGAATGTCTCCCCACCCCAAGTATGGTTCTCGGGCTTACAGCTACTTATTCTCCATGCAACGAGGCTCCTAAACACAAGTCCACCGCCTCATCCGGTGCACGGCTGCAGAAATGGCCCCATGTTTGGGTGTGCATGACGTCTCTCCGTGTCTCCGTGAGACTGTTGTATTGCCTGCTCTTCGCAGCAATCAACTAGCCGTAAAGATTAATCGTGGTTTTAATGATCTCTAACCCTGGTCTGGCTTTCATTTTTAAAAAGGAAAACTGACTTCCTTTACTTAAAAAGAGAACATGCCCCCACTTGGTTAGAAGAGTAACGTGAACTAATTTTAGAAAACACGTTAAAAGCCTAAAGAAGAAAACAAAGATGAGATGGAAGTTCAGAGCGTAGCAACTCACTTCGGGACCTACGATGACCAGGTAAACATTGGGCTCTTCTTGGTGCCACTCTGGGGGAGAAAAAAAGGAAAAACTTTTAGAATGGTTTTAAGTCACGGCTGCAATCACAATGAAGTTTATAACATAAATTACCCCATAATATACTAATAAATCATTTCATATCAGTTGGCTCTCATTAATAGTATTCGATTTAGATTGTATTTATTTAGGGTTTATATGTTTGGGGATTTTACGCTTTTAAAAAGCAGCGTATATTTTCTGCAATGTTGCGCATGATCCGTATTTCTGGAGTATTAGGTAACTAGGATGAATATGCCTCCACAGCTCAAGGTGGGATTTAGAACATACTGAGGACGATACAGATAAACAACGAGCAAGACTCCGAATGCATCACACAAGTTGGCATGTGCGAAACATTTCCAGATAAAAGTCTTTGCGCCTTGCAATTATTCACTAATTTCACGAACCGTGACCCCAGAAGCTACGCGCACAGGACATCGGAAACTGAACTGAGATTACTGCACAGAGCTGCTCTCCCCGTAAATCATTTTCCCGATTGTTCTCATCATGACACTCCAGAAGCAGCTCTGCTCGTGTGCAAAGGTGGAGGAAATAAAACTCAAAGTCCTAAAGACGGGTGCCCAGACACGTGCCCGGGCGGAACTCCGCAAACGGAGGGAGAAGGAAACCCCAGAAAACCTACCTGAGAACGCGTCCACCAAATAGAGAGGGTCTTTGACTTGTCGAAGCCCACAGATGAGAAGGAACACGTGCAAGGTGTCAGCGCTCTGGTTGATCTCTGCAAGGGAAGAGTTCAGGACGTGGTCAGCGAGGAGGGCACGCCCGCCGCCGCCATGGCAACCGTGTGCCGCAGGTGCACCTGGGAAGTAAGTCTCTGCCTCCCGCGCCGGCTGCTTCTGCGCTCGCATTTATGTCCGTTTCCTCGCAGCAAACGAATCCCTTCTGCTGGGCAAACCCGAGCTGAGCCCGGCCCGTGCAGCACAAGCGTATCTCTGCTAGGAGGAGGAGGAAGGACGACAGCAAGAAGTGGTTCGGCCGGGCGCGGTGGCTCACGCCTGTAATCCTAGCACTTTGGGAGGTCGAGGCGGGCGGATCACTCAAGGTCAGGAGTTTGAAACCAGCCTGAGCAAGAGCGAGACCCCGTCTCTACTATAAATAGAAATTAATTGGCCAACTAATGTATATATAGACAAAATTAGCCGGGCATGGTGGTGCATGCCTGTAGTCCCAGCTACTCGGGAGGCTGAGGCAGGAGGATCGCTTGAGCCCAGGAGTTTGAGGTTGCAGTGAGCGAGGCTGACGCCACGGCACTCACTCTAGCCTGGGCAACAAAGTGAGACTCTGTCTCAAAAAAAAAAAAAGTGGCTCAACTATCACAGAAATCGGAGCCAGGGGTCCTAGAGGCTATTTGGATCCAATTCTGGATGGGAACGGGATGAAGCTGTGAGCACTTGTGTTAAATGGGGTCCTTCCCCACCCACTGCCCTTGATGTCAAGGTGAGCGGCTCGTCAGAGTCCGGAGCGCAAGTGTCCAATCCCTGACAGTCTGTGTCGGACTCACTCCGTCATGTGCCTTCGTCACTGTCCGAAGCCCAGAGTGGAAGTGACAAATCACAGGCACGGACTCCAAATGCTCCGGGGGGGCCGGGTGGGGGGAGACAGAGTAAGGATGCTCGGAGGACAGCCCATCCCCAGGGTGCGGAGTGCGACAAAGACGGATGGCCCCGCAGATGAGAACAGACGCCGGCTCATAAAGCCCAGAGATGCGGACTAATTACACGTCTACCCTCGAGCCGCTACCCACCCCTGCCGGCTCCCCGAGCCGCCACCACGGTACCCCCTAGCCCGAGCATTCTGCATACATTGACAGCGTCTAATTGCACACATTAAGATTAAACCGCGGCCACGGAGGCCTCCAGAGAAGCGCTTGCTCAGGAGGGCCTCAAATCTGCGGGCTGTTCCGCTAATCACTCCACGCCGAGACCCGCAGAGCCGTCAGCCCCGAGCCCGCGGAACCTGGTGACGGATCGCCCTCCCTGTAGAGATCTTGAATCTCCGTTGCAACGCAGTTGCGTCCCGTGATAGATTGGAGACGGAATAACCCTACGACGGACAGGCCATCTGAAAGAGGCCGGCGGTTCTGAATCGCGGCACGCGGCTGCCGCGTGATGGAGCGGTTGGACCGCGCGGGCTCATCTGTAACGCAGCAGCCGGGGGCCAGACGGGCTGCCGTCCACGGGATTGATGAGCAACACTAGGAAGATCATTTCTAATAAAATGCTTGGGAGTGTTTCTTTTCGAGGAGCCCAACACTGACACACAGTAAACAGCGGGGGGCTTTGCTTTTGAGTTTCTGGAGTGAAGACAGGCTTGGGGGTGTCCTGCTGTTTGTTCAGGGCCGGGCACCGGTTTTGCATCTTTCAGTCTCTTCTGAGATGTTTAAGGCAGGACCTACGACTCCAACTCTCCCCGGACCCCGCGGTTTGGACCCTCTAATGCTAACCAGCCTGGCTGCCTCTAGGGAACAACATTTCTGGCTAAAACAGATGAATTCTTGCGCTGCAAGTTGCATGGGGTGTAATCCTAGCATCCTGGGAGTCCGAGGCGGGAGGATCCCTTGAGCTCAGGAGTTTGAGATTAGCCTGAGCAAGAGTGAGATCCCGTCTCTACTAAAAATAGAAAGAAATCACCCAGACAACTAAAAAAATATATATATAGAAAAACTTAGCCGGGCACGGTGGCGCATGCCTGGAGTCCCAGCTACATGGGAGGCTGAGGCAGGAGGATCATTTGAGCACAGGAGTCTGAGGTTGCTGTGAGCGAGGCTGATGCCACGGCACTCTAGCCCGGGCGACAGAGAGAGACTCTGTTTCAAAAAACAAAAACAAAAACAAAAAAACCCTAAATTGCATGTGGTGAGCCAATTTTAGCTGTTCTAGGAACTTCGCCCAAAATTACTGGGCTGTCCAGCCATAAGAGAGTTACGACCCCAAATAACACACACTGGTGGGACTCACCTGTGAACGACTAAACTTTCTATATTCAGGGACATTGCACAGTAAAACTTTATTTAAACGTCGTGACTACGCTTAGATCACCCCGTGCGTGGAAAACCCAACGGCCAGACTGTCTCAGCGCCTCCCACAGGCGCTAAGGAAAATCACATCCCACCAGCACCGCTAAGGACAGGTGCACTGAGGCCACCTTCCCGGGGAACAGTGTGGCCGTCAACCAGACTTCAAGATAAAAAACTTCAAGATAAAAAAAACTTCAAGATAAAAAAACTCTACTCTTCAAAGACATGGTGAAGGAAATGGACATAGAAGCCAGAGAATGGGAGAAAATATTCACAATACATACATCTGACAAAAGATTTGTACCAAGAATATAAAAAAATATTCTACAAATCAACAATGAAAAGAAAACACAATAATAAAAGAAAAAAGGGCCCAGGCTTGCTAGACATGTCACAAAAGAAGGTGCTCTGATGGCCCAGGTGCACATGGAAAGTTGCCAGACGCCACTCATCGTCCGGGAGAAGTGAACTGGGAGAGCCACGATGAGACAACACCATTTCGTCCCCCCAAGAAGAGCTAAAATTAGAGAGGCCGTCAACAGGACTTGCTGGCGGGGCTGTGGAATAACTAGAGCTTTTGTCGGTCTCTGCAGAAGTAGAACCGTGCACACCCTGGAAAACCGGCCGCCTTTAACAACGTCAAGCACGTACATAGCCAAGCTATTCGACGTATCCGAGGAGGAATGAAAACACAGGTCACCAGAAACCTTGCACGAGAATGTTTACAAGCGGTTTCATCTGTAGCAGCAAAAAAAATGTAAAACAAGCCAAAAGTCCACCACTAGGAGAAGAGATGCACAAGGTGGTACTCGGAGTGTCACATGCCCTTCCTAAACGGAATACTTTACCCGGCAGGAGAAAGGAGAAACCTGCAGAGACAGGCACAACGTGGGCAAGTCTCAGAAACATCATGTTGGGCAAAGACAGTCAGGCACAAGAAGGTGCTCAGTGCGTGCAGCTCAAGGACAGGTGAAGCTAGTCCCTGATGACGAACATCGAACACGAGTCACTTATACAAGGACGTCCCTGATGACGAACATCGAACACGAGTCACTTATACAAGGACGAGAATTAAATATAGAAGAGGGCACAAGAAAACTTTCTTGAGTGGTGGAAATGTTCTCTCTATCGATGAGGGTATTTGCTGCATGGGCGTATACATTTGTCAAAAATTTACCTAATTTTACACTTGAGATATCTGCGTTTCACTCCATGTAAATTTCAGAATTTTTTTTTTTAAAAAAAAGGATGAGTGAGTTCTATTCTTATTGTCATAACGAATAAATAAGGCAGCTGAGAGTAGTAAGGAAAGCTTGGTTTTGCTTTTGTCTTTTTACAAAAAAATCATCTCATATACATGTAAAATCGTTGAGAAAGATCACACCAAACATCAGTAACAATTCCTGTTTGGTGCTGAGATTTCAAGTGATCTAAACTTTTGTTTCATTTGTCAGATCTACGTGGTATCATAGCTACACAACGGTCATTCATTGCGTGTGTAATTACGACAGTAAAATGAAATGAACACATGAGGTTATTATTCTTAAAAAGGACAAATGTTGCAGGAAGTGACACTAAACATTTGGGACGTATCCTCCAAGCACAGCAGAAGGAAGGGGCTGAGCTTTCTTCCTCCTGCATTCATTCTCCTAATCTTCCCTTTCCTTGTTCCAATTCATGTTACCGTATTTCCCCCAAAATAAGACCTACCCATAAAATAAGCCCTAGCAGGATTTCTAAGCATGTGTGCAATAGAAGCCCCACCCTGAAAATAAGACCTAGTGATGAGCGTGGCTACCCAGCGCGTCTGCACAACCCGTGCATTTCATCACGGAGCAGGGAAGAAGACGAGCAGCCCTTCTCATCCGCCCCATCGTGACAGCTGCTGTCCCAGAGGTGACCGGAAAGGTGCGGGCAGCCCCACCAACAAGGTCGGTTCCCCTGTCAGGTCCCGGCCGTCCTGTGCGTGCTGCAGGCTGAGGCTTTGAGGGGAAAACAACACGTCCCCTGAAAATAAGCCCTAGGGTGTCTTCTTGAGGAAAAAATAAATATAAGACCCCGTCTTATTTTCGGGGAAACACGGTACTTCCTGCCCTTGTTCCACCTGAAACAGCACACTGCTTGGTCCTGACAGCCTCTTTTTCAAAACCGTGTGGGCGTTGCAAGTCACTGGTACGCTTCCATCAAAATCTCCTACGAAGATTTCACATCTTACCTGCACATTCAAGAAAGGTGTTCCAGTTAAAGGCCGCATTTGGCATTGTCGTAATTCCTGGGTCAAAAGAAGAAGAAAAAGAGAAAGGCGACTTTGATGAGACTGCTGAGACACAGCCAGTCATTTCATGCTGGAGTTTAAGCAGTGGTGGGACTTGTTTCTTTACAAAGCTGCTCTAGGTTCTGAGTATTTCAGCAAAGTCCCACTAATCCCCCAGGACGAGGGGGCAGAGAAGGTCGGTAGTGGAGGTGGGGAGGGTGGGGAGGTGGCCTCCCCACTCCCGGCCACCCGGAGGGGAGGTTCGCAGGAGGCGGCGTCCAGGCAGGAGGTGGAACAGCACTCGAGCCCCGGGGCGGCTTCGTTCTGGTTCTGTCCTGAGCGTCACATTCGGTATGTAACCGCGAGGGCACCTGCAACCTCCCAAAGTGGTACAGCAGTGCCCCTTCCAAAGGCCCTTACGACAGTAAGCCTTTGACAAAGAAAGAGGGAGTGTCCAAAATCTCTGCTAGTTAAAAAAGAATAATAACTTTAATGGGAAAAAAATGGCTAACGGCAATCATTTGAGATTGCTAATAGACACTGAAGTTCGGAACCCTAAAATGCTCCTTTTGTTTAGTTAAAATTTCACTGGAAGCCTGGAAAATGTTATTGGGATGCAGTGGACGCCAGGAGAGCTTCTTTCTGGCCAACTCTATGCCTAAAACGCTGCTGGGAAACATTTTTAAGAGGATGTTAAAGTGCTGTTTAACGTATCGACTTCAAAGTTAATCCAAGTGTTTGGCAATAAAATAGTCAACAAATTCTTGATGAATTATAACGTGAGGCAAAATAGAGTTTATATTCTCGCCACTACCTCATTGGAAATATGCTCTGAAATTAGAATCTATAAACTCAAAATGTTCCTTTCAAAAAAAAATTCCTTGGCTTGGCGTGGTGGCTCATACATATCAACCCAGCACTCTGGGAGGCTGAGGCGGGAGGCTTGTTTGAGCTCAGGAGTTCGAGACCAGCCTGAGCAAGAGTGAGACCCCGTCTCTACCAAATAGAAAACTTAGCCGGAAGCAGTAGTGCCTGCAGTCCCAGCTATTTGAAAGGCTGAGGCAGGAGGATCGCTTGAGCCAGGAGTTTGAGGTTGCTGTGAGCTAGGCTGACGCCATGGCACTCTGGCCCGGGCAACAGACTCTGTCTCAAAAAAAATTTTTTAATTCCTTTATCCACACTCCCCAAAATTAATCAAATTAGTATCTCAATCCTAGCAGCAGCAGAATTGACTGTGTGTGGAGACTTCAGGATTTATCTGCTGGTCTTCCTGCATCATTTCTCTAAAACCTCTCAAAAACTGAAAAAATATATAATAAGTACCAAGTCCTATATAGACTTTTAAAACATATCATAAACGGTACTTGAAGATCGTATCCGAGAGATCAAGGAAACAGAGTTACAGGAGAAAGAAGTATGGGCCTGGGCTGTTATCAGCGATCGTA